TCTCGTCTACAGCTGAACGTGTGCAGCATCCTTGCTCCTCTGTGTCCACAGCCCTCCCAGTGCAGAGAAGGGGAGCGGTGCTCCCCAAAGGGACCGACCAAGCCCTGGCGCCACCAGCCTCCAAGCCCAGCAGCTTCCTGGGCTGTGCCACTCATCTCCTGGTCCCCCCCCCCGAGCTAAGCAGTCACTTCTGGGCAGTCCTGCATGATATTTGCAGGTCCTGCACTTAAACTGGCACTGCCAGCAAAGCTCTGACCAAACATCCCGCGCCGCCAAGGAAGGGAACGTGGGGAGTTCCCAGCAGGCTTGCATGGGGGGAATAAATGCATCTGCTTAGCTGAAGCAAATCCTTGCAGCATAAACAAACAGGGACACATGTTTATTCTTCAATCCATTCACAACATGATAAATATTTATTTCAAGTGAGCAGCTGGTTACTTAGAGCTTTGTCTAATGCTGGGTTTGATCTACCAACCATTTGGACAACAGAGGGTTTTTTATATATTTATGGTCATGAACTGTGCTCCAAAAGCTGTAAGAGAGCCCTGAAACAAATCTAAGCATGGGAAATATTCTGGAAGCATCGAAAGTCACAATCGGTCTCGCTTTGGGAAGGATGCAGCCTGCCTATCCATAACCACATCACAGGGGCCACATCAAGCCATGCTAATGGCAGGGGTGAGCACTCCCAGCAACACCAAGCATGGCAACAGAAATACTTTTAATTATGACTTTGTGTCTTTTGTCTATGGGTTGCAAAACACATGAAAATAGTTAGGCACCTCTCCACACCCTTACAGGTAACATTTCATCAGTGCTGTCACTGGGAAGATGAAGCACCTAATAAGTCAAGGACAGATGCTGAGAGCCCGCCTCTCTGTGTTTAGCCACAAAACTATGTCCCTCTTACGGCACAGCGATGCCTCTTCCAGTCCCTACTTGCCATAAATAGAGACAGCGAATAACCGCTTGCACTGAGAGAGCTGATCTGGTTCTGGACGTTTGTCAGACTTTCCAGTGGGCTGGGGCAGCTCCCTCAGCCAGGCTGTTTGCACTCTTAACTTTATCAAAACGCTTTTCCCCCTCCTCTCCACCTATTTGCCTTGGCAGCTGGCCAGGGGTTTCCAGGCGTGCCCTGATGCACACCAAACCCTTGTGCAGCACTGCAGGGATGAAGCTTTTCCCTTTCCCAAATAGAGATCAAAGGAAGCATGGACTTTGACTCCAGAGAGGAGACTCTGCTTTCATTCTCCACCTTTTAATCTATTGTGATACAGCTATGAAGCCCAAGAAGAAGCAGATATTTAGGGAGAAAATTCAGCTACAGCCCTTGTCCCCCTTCTGCCTGCAGCTTTATGTGCTGTGCCTCTCCGGCAGGAGGGACTCAGACAGTGTCTCTGGGTTTTAGCAGCTTCCGATAATGACACCTGGCTGGCGGGAGACAGCTTGTTATTACAAAGGAGCGAAGTGGGGTCTCTGCAGGGAAGGATCGCCCTTCTGCCGTCTGCGGGGCTGCACTGCGATGCTGGTGGCCAGGGGCCTGGCTGGCACACACGGCGTCATCCGCGCAGCACCACATCACACCTCTCCTGCATGGGAACTCCTGCAGCATGGCTCTGGGTGGACACATGCACCCAATCAGCCATGCCTCATTAAGGGATTACACCATATTTACAGCAAATCGCTACAGGAAAACAGGGCCTGAAACAGTACAAGAGCAATTAGCTGCTAACAAGTCTTCATAGATAATCTACCGGACACTTGTTTCTCACTCCAACTGTAATTGCCGCTTTAGCGTCAGCTACAGCAGCCAAGATCCACAAAAAACCCTTTATCAGCAAAATAAATTAGTGGTTGCTGATTGCCACGTCTGCACTCTTCAGGGCAGGGGAGAGCTCTGAAGAGGTCATTGGAAAGGCTCTTGGCAAGGCACAAGGACGGGGAACGCACCTCCAGCCCAGGCAAGCTTCGGAGGGTCACAGGAGGACAGAGGCTGGAGGAGGGGCCACTGCTCCATGGCCCCTGCACACCACTGCCAGGGCGCAGGGTGCTCACCACTGCCGGACTGGGCTGAGGTCCTCCCCCAGCAGAGGCTGGGACCCGGCCCCACTTTCTACAGCCTCAAGCCTCACCCAGCAGCACGCTGGCTCCGCTGGCACCATCCCCGCCCGCTGGGCTCCTGGCCCACGGGGATCTGTTCTCCTCCTCCCGGGCTCTGAACCCCATTTCAAAACCCACTGTGCCCTACTTCAGGCCATGGGAGTTTTACCTTCCTGCTCAGTGTCGCCTCCGAATGAGCAGGTGTTCGGTGCTGGGTGAGTCTGGGCTGAAGGAACTGTGTCCTCAGCATCAAAACCAGATGCAGTTCAGAGCCAGACCTGCCCGCAGGCGCATGCCTTCCCCAACAAACACATAGAGAGCTACGTTACCTACAAACAAAAGAAAAACCAAACAAACTGTTTCTCCTGCAGACTGGCTGGGAAGAAAAAGTGAGAGTGTTGTTTCTATTTCTGAAACTCCAGGGAGGTGCTCAGAGCCCTGCCGAGTGGCCAGCCAGGCGATGCTCAGGGAGAGGGAGAGCAGGCAGCATGGCAATCAGACTTTTTTTAAGCGCTTGGATTCATCCTGCCCGATCCTTCTCCCTGCAGCAGGCTGAGAGGGGCTGCCCGGCAGAGGGCAGGGACCACAACCAACCAGCACAACCTCCCCGTGCAGACCAGGCACCAGCCTGCCGGTCTCCTTTGGTTGTGTCCCCTCATTAGGTCGTGGTGCTTAGCCACAGGGGAGCTTTCCTGAGCAGTGGCGGGGTGCACCCATGTCACACAAGCAGGGGTGAGTGGGTGTTTTCCTCTCCCATTCATTGTTTTTTTACCTTACTGCTGCTCTTCCCTTTCTCTGCTTGTCCAACTCCTCTACAAAGGATGCACCACCCGGTTCCCATGCTCCAATAACTCCTGTTGCTCTGACAGCTCCCTAAACCCTGTGCTAATGCTGATGGCAGATGACAGGCAGGGAAAGCAGAAGCTCCATTTTAGAGGGAAATTCATCAAGCCTGTTTACTGTTTGCTGTGTCCCCCCATGTAGAGCCTCTGGGATCTCGAGCACTGAAGCAGACACATGTCTAGAAACACACTTGCTCTCTCTGGAGCCTCTCCAGTACCGATGAGAAGAGGGAAACAGCAGGAGCAGTGGCAACAGCTCTCAGCCACGCCCGCACATGATCCGTGGTGACTGAGACCAGGGTGACACCTGAAGCCTTTTGCACCAGAACAGTGTAAGCCACGGACAGAGCCTTTCATGGCAATGTCATCCCAACAAGAGCCCGGGCACTAGCGCCATCAGAGCCGCAGCGAAGGGCAGCACAGTCCCTGGTGCGTGGGGAGGAGCGGTACCAGTGGAAGGCAGGGCTGTGCCCAGAAACCACATGCTGACAGCGCCGAAGCCCCGGCACAAGTAGCGAGGAGGAAGACACCTACGATGCTCTCCTTGTGTAACCACAGAGCGTTATTTCACATGCCGCGAATCGCAAGCCACTTCCGTCCCCACTGAGGGTAACGTAGCCAAGGGGACGGGGACTGCCATCCTTCCCTGCGCTCTGGGGGTCTGACGCTGCTGCCTGAGATCAGGAAGGCTTTAACTGAGCTTTTTTCTCTGCCTCTGCACCAGCAGGCCCATGGCCTCTCAATCCTCTCAGTGAGCTTTGCCTGCCTTGAACTAGATCAGGAGGCCAAGCCACTTCTCTGTTCGACAGATGGTAACTAAATCTAATCCACGAACCCTGCCACGGTCCCAGGCAGCAGTGGCAGCTGCGGGGGGAGCAGAGCCCT